AAATCTATTCTATTTATTAATCTATTAATTGAAGTAATTTATTAAGTTCAGTTTTGATGTAATCTTTGAATGACTTGATGGATGATTATAATGATTTAATATTTGTGAGTCTGATAGTATTTTCTTCCTTATTGAGCTTTTAGCTTTAATTCTTCATGCTTTAAATCATCTCGATAGTTTCTTGAAGTAATGTCAAATTTTCTTTATCAACTTTTTCAGCAAGGCATCTTGTACATAAGTATTCGTCTTCTAATCTGGTTTATGGCTTCAAATCAACTACCGTTATTTCTAATTTGTGCACTTAACAAAGTTTTTTTTTCAATTTATGAGTTTGCATAAAATATTTTTGATTAATTTAAATAATCTAATATTAAAAGAATAAAGGATTTTAAAATTTAGAAGAAATAGATTGAAAAATTAATTCACAAAGATTGAGCTAATTATTATATAAATTAAAGTTGTAAAGATTCAATAAGTAGGTCTTCTTTTTCTCATACTGCTAAAATATATGAAGAATTATTAAGAAGTTTATCTTATTAAATTCATCGAAAGATGAATTCATTTTTTACAAATCTAACAATCAAATAGCATATAGAGTAAAAGACTTATTCAAAAAAGCTTCTGGAAAAGAATCTATTTAAAACTTGGGTTTATGCTATCATAAAAGGTATAAAAGATTATGCTATGCTACTGAACATACATCCTAAATAGAGTAAGTTGAATGACTTACTGTATAATTTGGGAGAACTTTTTAAATAAAAAATAGTGGAATTATTAACAATTTTCAACTCCAATATCAATTTTTCCAATATTACAATCACAAGTAAAAAGCAGATCATTATATATTTTGTTTATGAAATTGAACATAATTCACATTTAATTTCTATTACATTTCATGAGAGACCTTAATAATGGCATTCTTTAATGATTAATAATATAATAATCTAAAAACTTGATTCTATATATCATCTTATTATTTTTGGAGGCATTTAAATTTATTTAAACTTGAAACAAATTATCTGACAGTATTAAAATTGGACGTAGAAATTTTTGTACTTTAAATATTTAATCTAATACATCTCTATTTTTCTGTATCCGGATAATAATATCCTTCTTTACAGAAAAAAGTATTTCCAACTAAATATATGTAATCAGTATCAACACAAATAATGCAATCTAATTCTTCCATTTCTCCACACATTCCGCATGAATAATGAAAATCTATTATTGTTATACTTTAACATTTAATCATCCAATTTATTCATATGTACTTAATTGTCCCTTCATTCAATTTAGTAATAATATATTTGAATTTAAAACCATAATTCAAAAATAACCTATATTATCTATTAAATTTCAATCATCATTGTAGGAATTAAATGGAAATTAGAGTCAATATTTCGTATATGTTTTAGAGTTAATATTATCACTAGTGCATTCTTAAACTTAAATTTAAAAAAAATCTGATTACCATTTCCATTCATTATTTATTAATTCTCTTTTAGCATAAGAATCACAAGTGAGGCAGTTATTTCGGATCTTTCCATCACAAGATTTACATTTGAAATGGCATTCTAAAATGCAGATATGCAAATTACTTTTAGAAACGATTGAATCTTATTTATCATAAAATTCTTCTGGATAAAAACACCTCTTAACAGAATCAAGTATACATAAAGGATTTAATGGAAAAGTAAAACATTTTTCTGCTTGGCTCTTACATGTTTCATATATATATCTAATAGATTGGTAGTAATGAAAAGTTACTTTTATACTAAGAAATTCCTTACTCTTAATAATCAACATTAATAAATTTGCAGATATTTCCTTATAATACTCTAAAATTAAGTTCTAGAGAACAAACAATACAACTTTCTTGATTATTATCAAAACATTTATAACAAGAATAGTGATAGTGAATAGTGGTATTCTAATGCTATTCAATAAAAATACATGCACATTCTAATTATCCAATATCATAATATCCAGTTGGATACATGTAAGACAATAAATCCATTATTCTATATTTTAAATCACATACTAGACAATTTGATGAAAGAGGTCCATTACATGTTAAAAAATACTTATCACAAAATTAATAATCTTTTGAGAATCCATCATTTCATCAAACATATTGTCATATTTTCATCTGGCCGCTTAATAAAGTATTCTAGTTGAAGGACATTCTACAGAAATATTACAGAATTTTTAGAAATATAATAAATTTAGTAAACATTGTAATTATTTATATAATTAATATTTAATCAAATAGTTAAAATTAATATATTATATTTTATTTTTACATTTTAATTATATTAATAACTTAGAGGAAACTAAATTTGTAGATTACATAATTTGAGAATATATGAAATTTGGTGATGTTATTTATAGAGTATTGATATCGATAACAATAACAATAACCTTAACAACTATGATGATATTTGAGATTGTAAATTAATTTACTATTAGTATTATGCTATTTAATAAACATGTACAATCTGTTATTAGGAAATGCCTAAAAGTTTATAATTTATTTACCTTTTGTAGTTATAGAAAGTTATCAATATTTTTAGATGGATTAATCAAAAAAT